AAATGGGGCTTTTAATCAAGTGATTTATGTCAGATCCGCAGCCCGGGATTAAGCTCACAGCAGCAGGAGGGGGAGAAGAAAAGAGGGGGGGGGGGGGGGGCCATAAATCAGCGCTCTCCCTGGGAGCGGTTTGGCTGTGGGAGCTCAGCAAGCGCGTGTTTACATCATCAGAAAGTGCTGCTCTCACCATCTCCTGCTCATTTCCTGGGGTGAGCAGGAGGGCAATTAAATATGATAATAAGCAGAGCGGCTCCACGCTGCACCGCGAAGCCTTCGCAGGGAAGGTGCTGCTGGGCTGGGGAGGGGGGCACAGGCAGCCCTGCAAAGGGAGATGCTGCCTGCTGTCCCTATGGGCAGCTGCACAGGAAGGGGAGCCCCAGCAGCGCCGTGCTCCGTCAGCCCTCAATGCATTTTGGGCTCCCCTGCACAACTCTTTGTCCTCTCCCCCTTTTCCTTTTTCTCTCCTTTTAAAGCCCTCCGGCTGCACAGGACCCCAGACAACCTCCTGGCCTTGGCCCAGGTTCTGCCTGAGCTCTGCTTTGTCTCTCTGCCAGTCACCGTCACACCGTGTTTGTAATTCCACCTCCATGCAGCTCCACTCAGGTTTAATGGGTGGCACTGGGGATGCTTTCCCCCCCTCCCCAGCCCCCCAGCAGCCAGACCCAGCCGTGCTCTCAGCTGTACATCACTCCCTGTCAGCTCGCACAGCAGACACTTCTGGGCCGTGCTTTCATCCAAACAAAATGTCACTTCTGCCCCGGGGCTGGCTGCAATAACTCCATTCCTGTGTGCAATCCGAGCACTGCCACCGTGCAGAGCAATCCCACAGCCCCACTGCACGGACTGACGCTGGGATGTGCCAAAATCCCCACCTGTGGGTAAGGGAAGAACATCCCTGAGCATCCCACGGTCCTCCTGCAACCCAGTGTGAGGATGCACAGAGCTGGGATGGATCCAGGAGCCCCAGGACCCCTCTGTCCACACCCCATAACTCTCCCTTTCCCCTCCCCATGAGGTTTGGTTCTCCAGCCCGTGTTCTACATTATTTGAAGCTGGTGTAAGGCTCGCTTGTCTTTGTTACAAATTTATAACAGAGACAGAAAGCCTGCTAGGAATGTAATGCTCTAATACAGGAGGCCATAAATCTCAGCCTTTGTTGTGCTTGGGCCTCACTAAATCACTGCTTTTCCCTCTGAATATTAATCTGCTCTAAAAGTGCTGAGCGGTGCATCTTTCCCAAATGGCTTTTAGGGGAAAGGCTGATGTAAGGGCCGTGGCACAGCCCCATAGGACACGGGGAGCAGGGATTGGTGCTGCAGGGATGGGGGGAGCGGGGCAGGGGGGATGCAGGGAGCAAAGATTGGTGCTGGAGGGGCTCAGGACCGGGAGCATCACCAGCCACGTGCCATAGCAGCACCAGCATGGGGATGCCCAGGGTAGGAGAAAAGCCATCAAATGGGCTCCCTGGAGCCAAAGGGAGGGCTGAAAGGTGTTTGGCACTGGTGGAGCTGGAAAAGCTCTCCCCACGCCAAAGCACACACAGCCTTGGAGCTCTGCACCATTTAATTTGCCCGTTGTTGCAGAACAGAATGCAGTAATTTATGGGGCTCTGCTTAGTTTGTTTCCTCCTTGCTCTCAGTGCAGCTCGGAGCTGCATTTCCCCTGCTTTGCTCCTGCAGTGCTGCAGGGCCGGAGCTCCATCCTCCAGGAGCTCTGTGGGGTCAGAGAGCAGCAGGTTTGGGGTATGGCTGCAGGTTTGGGGTATGGCTGCAGGTTTGGGATATGGCTGCAGGTCTGGGGTATGGCTGCAGGTTTGGGGTATGGCTGCAGGTTTGGGGTATGGCTGCAGGTTTGGGGTATGGCTGCAGGTTTGGGGTATGGCTGCAGGTTTGGGATATGGCTGCAGGTCTGGGATATGGCTGCAGGTCTGGAGTATGGCTGCAGGTTTGGGATTTGGCTGCAGGTCTGGGACATGGCTGCAGGTTTGGGGTATGGCTGCAGGTCTGGGATATGGCTGCAGGTCTGGGGTATGGCTGCAGGTTTGGGATATGGCTGCAGGTCTGGGATATGGTTACAGATTTAGGATATGGCTGCAGGTCTGCAGCTCTGCCAGAGGGTTTGTTCTGAGCAGCAAAGGGGTCACGGGGCTGCCCTGGGATCAGCCCTGACCTGCACACATCACTCAGCAGCACAGAGCTGCACCCACCTGGGGGTGGCAATGGGCTCAGACTGCAGGGTGCAACTGCTCCCATTATCCTGTATTAGGTGGGACTGGCTGTTCTCCTCAGCTGTATTTAAAGATTATCAGAGAAGCAGTCTTTCCCAGGAACATCACCCATTTATGGGAATTAAGACAATTATCTCAGACATTTTCTGCCCACCTCTTGCACTGAAACCCCCAACAATTTGCAGCTCCTCCCAAGCTCATCCTGCACCCTGAAAGCTCTGCAAAGCTCTGTTCTGCCCTGAGCTGAGGAGGACACCTGTGGGAGCAGCACACCTGGGCAGCATCCCATAAACCCTGGGTGTGAGCAGAAGAGCAGCTCCTGTCCTGCAGAGTGCAGCCTGGTCTGGGGGCTGTGCTGGAGGAGAACAAACCATTTTATTTCATTTTATTTTTGCTGAATGGAGCTCTTGGCCCAGCATCTCACCTGCTGCTATGGGGTTTCTCTGCATCCATAGGTTCCTGCTCTGCCTGTGACCAGTTGGTGCTGAGAGCACCAGCACGTGTGCAGCCACCACTGCAGTTTTGCAGGGCTGAGCTGTGTGTGCTGGCTGCTGAATGCTGCCTGTATGTGGAGAACTGGGGCCTGGCTTGAAGCAAAAGGGCTGCGTGGATACTGGGAAGCACGAGGTCTTCACATCTGCTCTTCTGCAGCTTCATATTTTGGGCACAGCGCTGTGGAGGTCATTGGAGCTGCCAGCCCTGCTCTGTGCTGCAGGGAATGCAGGCTGAAAGGCACTGCAGGGCAGGCACAAGTGCTGCCCAGGTGCAGCCTGCAGTGCAAACACTGCAGCACAAACACTGCAGCGTGCTGCTGCCTGCTGGCTGGGAATGGCTGTGCTGCTGCCCTGAGGTGCAGAGCTCCAGAGCTGCACCAGGAGATGCTTCACTGGTTTGCATTGTAGGGAAAAGGCTGGCTGAGATTCGTGCAGTAATTACTGTGTGGCCCCTTCGTAGTAGGAAAACACATCCCCTGATGATAGTAATGTAAACTATTGACTGGTGGCAAAGAGTGGGAGCTCGGGGCAGGGAGCAGAGCTGGAAGAAGTCATCAATAGGAATGGTATTATTGCATGTATGTGTGTTACTGTGGGACAGGGATCAATTCCCTCAAATTGCATTAGGGTCTGCTGAGCTGCTCCTCCTGCAGAGGCAGCTCCTGAGCTGCAGCTGCTCTGCACACAGAGTCTCTGCTCCTGGCCCTGTGGCACAGCCCTGGTTGTGGCAGCTGCTCCTGGGAAGTGCATGCGTGCCTTTTTCTGCCCTCTGAATTGACACCATTAAAATGCAGACATCCAGGATTGCACATTGGTTTTATTGCCACGGCAGAGGTGCAGGTACAGAGCTAAGCTTGCAGCAGACAGCTATCCCTGTACTGCATTCTGATTCTGTATTGCTAATAAGAGCCCAAAGTCACATGTTTAAAGTGCTGATAATTCCCCGACCTTGAGATGACTGTATTTTGTTTTGTCTGATTGTTCTAAAAGTTGTCTGACCTCTAAAAAAGACGCAGCACCAAGCCTAGCTTTCATCTGACAGTCAGTATAAATATCTACAGTCCATGAAACAATTTCCAAATATTTACATACACCAAAAACTAACAAATGCTAAAAACAGTTTCAGTATCCTCCTGTGGAGTCTACCACAAACCAGCAGCTGACGCTGGAGTGTATGAAGAATCATGTTTAAAAAGTCTGAGGGCAGCTGCATGACGCAGTGCTGAGCTGGGTAAGGTTTGAACCAAGTCTCAGCTTGTGAAAGAAAGAAAGAAAGCTCTGCAGGTTGTTGCCTCACAAGACCCAGAGGGATGCTGAATAATGCACACCTCTGTCTCCCATGGCAGCTGGGCTGCCCCTGTCAAGCTGCAGCAGCAGGATAAGATGGGAGGCATGGATGTGTGGCTGTGCTCCTGCACAGGATTCTAAAGTGCAGAATTCTGGACTTCCAGGCTAGTTCATTCTGCACCTGGACCCCTGTGAAAATGAAAAGCTGTCTTTCCTAATATTTAGGAGCACAAATACCTGGTCAGTGAGTAACAGCAGAGACAGCAGTATAAATAGGAACATATTTACAACATAAGTTAAAACGGTGGGGGTAGGGGTGCAGTACAAAGAGAAGCTGGTGCTATGCTCACAGCTGTAGCATTGTCTGCCTGCTAGTAAGATTGAGACAGAGGGAAAGGGCCCCTTAGGACTACTGACACCTCTTTGTAAAGCAGTCTGCAGGACAGACACTCTTTCCTTTTAAGGAGGTGCAGAGATGAAAGCTCCTTTCTTCAGCCTTGAGTGTCCTTGCTGGCTTCAGGCTAGACTCCATTGGCACCAGCCTTGCTGCTCTGAGATGCCTCCAGTTTAGTCTGAGTGGGAAAGTTGCAGATTTTAGGCAGTACCAATACCAAGGCTTCTTAAAATGCAACAACATTTGACTCAGATCAAAGCTCTTCAGGGTAAAGGAGCATTTTACTGTCAATATAAGCTCAGCCTGGACACCCAAACTGGCCTGAAGTGGACATCCTAAATCAAGGTGTAAGCAGCTGTATTGCAATCTATTATTCACAGAAAGGAAAGAATAATGGAAAAGGCAAGTTACTGTACATACATACATACATAAAGATACAGAAAGGCACTTAATACTGGGCTGGTTCTGACAGAAGATGAGTTCTATCCAAGTGTTTTAAAGCAGACTGCTAGGGAAGAGTACAAAGGGCACAGTGACAACTCCCTCCAATTTGCCTGGAGTCTGCCTCAGTAACATGCTGTGTCGTGTTCAACAGCCCTCAGTGCAGCTCTGATCCACAATTTCTCCAGTCACTGCTGAGCTTAACATTCAGAACACCCTGTAGCACAAATTTCCACAGCTGGACTATGAGCTGTGTGACAAAGCTACTTGAGAAAGCCTAAACATTCTGAAAAGCTTACCTCTTGTTGGAGTGGCTTAACTGGCACCTCTGAGACTGGTAATTTCTCTGGTGGCCGAGGTACAAACTCTTCATTCTTCGAGGAAAAAGGTAACTTTAAGTCACAGAACCCTCCTGGAAAACAAAGCTTCTAGGCAGACCCCATAAGGTCCCCTTCCTTGTCAGAACAAGGCTGTTCCCTGCAAGGCATCTTTGTGAACCCTATGCCATTTCCATCATTTCTCCTCCACTATTTAGTAGGGCTTTTGTGAAATAACTCCAGCTGCTGACACCACATCCTAACTGCCATACCCTCCTTTAGTTTTCTGTTACTGCTTTTATCAGATTGGACTTATACAAGGAATTCCCCTCAGCCTTGTGTTAAGAGCCACAGGCTCTGGCTTTGTAACCCTGGATGCATTGGTACTTTTTGTCCTGGATAGTTCAGCCCATGTTTGCTGGGGCAGCTGAAAAGAAGCCACCTTCAACTAAGATAAATGAACCTGAGTTGAAGCTCACTCTGTGTTTTTGCTCTTCTCTGACCTTTCCTGCCTGTGCAATGGGGGCAGGATCCACCAGGGTCTCCTGATCTTCAGGAATGGATGTCATCACTTCCTCAGTTTCACCTATCTAAGGAAGAACACAGAGCTCAGTACAGAATTTCAGTTCTTTTGGAGGGTGGAAAAACAGGATTCACGTCACAACACCTCACTTGGGTAATGGTTCAACCATTAACCTGAGAGCTTTATTCAAATAACTCACCTTATTTTCTAGAAGAGGTTGTGGCTTTACATCTATTAAGTACAAGGCACGCGAGAGCAGGAGCAGAGAAGGTGGAACATTCTCTTTTAAGTGCAGATCTAGCCACTGGGAAAAGAAAATTGGCTGCAAGTCAACACTTACTTAGCAGTCCTTGTACTTAGAAGATCTTAGAGCTATCTCGAGTTTGGCTACTGAAATTCTAACCTACCACAATGAGAAGAGAGAGTCTGGATGACTTTGGAATACCTACAGAATGGACACTAGAGAGGAAGTTTCCTCTTTCCTCTGTATCTCCTCGTATTTCCTCCCTTCCTTTGTATTTCAGATAAGCTGTAGATCATTCAGTACCTACAGCAGCATCTGTAATCTGTTTGAATGTTTGTAAGAGACTGGTGTTAGCTCTACTAGAAGTTCTGGCTACTTCAGAAGCTTAAAACAATTTCCCCCCCCCCCCTCCCAGTCTTTATTTTGCTTCTAACCAGCCACCCCCAGCTCTTTGCTCCACAAAGCAACATGCATATTTCACGCTTCAGATCTCAGCTGTGCAAATCAGGATCCATCTAAAAACCCTTGGAGGAATCCTCAGAGAAATCTGATTCTGTTCTGCATGAATGCTGTGCAGCATTCTGTCCTGGGAGAAACCTGACTGAATAACTGAACAGGAATCACTCACCTGTCTGAGCTGTTCCTTCAGCTGCTCCTCTGAGAGACCCAATGACCGCATCCCTCTGGCTCTGCATGCACTCTGCAGTTCAGACACACTTAAGCCATTGACTCCTTCCTTGGCAATCATCTGAAACGAAACGTTCCTATCTAGGCATACAGTAAAGCCAAAACTTGATAAGCTTGAGGCTAAATAAATGCCTTTAGATAAGCATAAAGTCACAGCAAGGCAGAGACGAGGCAGTACTGACTTTCTGACTAATGCATTCTGTCCTTGAAAAACGACAGGATCCACCCAGCTACAGAGGATGCAAAATGCTGGCCCAGATTTTTTTTTTCAGTACGGAGAATTTCACTTTTATGTGCAACCCTTCAGTGGCCCTGAGAACTGTGAAGATCGGATGCTTTAAAGCTGAGCCCGCAGTTAGTCAGGTATGTACTTTTGAAGTACATTTCTTTCTAGGAAGAGCCTTTCTACTCTTTCCTCTAAATCCCAGCAGGATTAACACCATTTCAAATCACAGTTCCTAGAGAATCATAAGATGTAGGCTACAAGTGGCTTCTGGAGATCCCCAGCCCAACCTCCTATTCAAAACAGAGTTAGGCTGAAAGCTGCTTTACACAGTTTGGATTTTTCCATTCCTCCAAAGCTGTACATCTGGGCTGATTTCAACTTACTTCATCATCTGCCTTGATAGTCCTGAGCCTCAGCAGAAGCTGAAAGCGGAGCAGATTGTTGGTGCCAATGGGCTGCAGCTCCAGCAATTTGCAAAGCGCTACCAACTGCGGCCGTTCCAGGTGTTCCAGGGTCAGTTCATCCTCAAAAAGCTTGGAGAAGCTCACGATCTCTTGGGTGCTGGGTTTGTGGCCAGTGTGACGAATCTTTAATTAAAGAAAAACAAAAAAACACCAACCCAATTAAAACAAAATCCCACCTTCTGAATCTTTCTGCCCCTCTAAAGAATCCCTTTCTGTTTTTCACGCTGGCATTCCAGCCTCTCACTGGAAACAGAATGATAGAATTAAAAGGCACATTTTACCTGGTGCACATAGGAAGAGAACTGTTTTCCTTGTCCTGTATCTGCTTTGTTCCTTTTGGCCATCTCTGCAATGGTCTCTTGCAAGAACTTTGCTAATTCCAGCTTTGCGTTTAATTTCTTTTTCTGCTTTTCTTCCTTCATTTAAGAAATAAAGCATAAATAGAACTTCCACTTGAAAACCAAAAGGGAGAGGGGCTGTAGGACAAAGATGAAATAAAACTCTGTGCTGTTGTATGGATGTCCTAACTAGACTGCTGGAATCTCTGAGAACAGCACAAACCTTTTTTGACTCTGTCTCAAACGTTGAGGGCAGCATTTCAGGAAAGAGTTTCAAGAACACTGGCAACAGAAACTCCATGAAGGGAACAACGATAAACACCAGGAAAGGAACCAGCCGGAAAAGATCTGCACAGGTCCTCAGCAACTGCACAAAGAAGAGCACAGCAGAAGCTATTATTCAGCTGGAGGAAAAGAAAGAACTGTCCCAAAGAAGCACGGAAACCACGCAGTTAAATGTCTTTTGCTACAGTAAGCCTCTGAATACGCCATTATAGCAAGTTGTTGTTCGTGTGCCTGGCACTTACCCTTCGTCTCTCTCTCCTAGTGAGAACCTGACCATGCAGCAGCCTCCACACCATCCTGGCAGCAACCTTAGTATCAATCCAGAGCAAGTGGAACCCATTGTAATAATGCTTCACTTCACAGACAATTTTTTGGTGCCAGGATTTTTTCCCTACGGGGCTTTCTGTGCCTCCTGCTGGTGTTGGGGTGGGTGCAGCACCTCGGGTGGGTGCAGGCTGCTCCTGGGGCTCCCGGAGCACACAGGTGGATGTGTGGAACCATTGCACGGCTTCAGCTGCAGGGTGAGGCAGGCGGGGGTCCGGCTGTGCGTGGCGCTGGCGTTGTGAAGGGTGTCCACAAGTCTGGTTTAAGTGCAAATCCACCAGTTGGACCAAAGCAATCGCTGGAGAGCATGGAGAGATGGAGTGCAGGAGGAGCTGGGAGCCTCTGGAAGCAGAGAGGTGGTTAAGAAAAGCACGGTGCTCCGTGGCTAAGCTGCCTGAACACCAATTTGTGTGCTTGGTGCCACAGCCTGTGAAAATAACCTCACGGCTGCATCAATGCCTGCAGCTCCGAGCACTGAGCAGTAAGCAAAGCACCGAAAATCCCACGGCGACAACTTTAATTCGGGAGGAGGACAACACGAGGCTTCTCACTGCTCCTAGGGAGAGCTTCCACGGGCTGCCAGGAACGCCTGAGCATAGAGGGCAGAGCCGGGTGCCCTCTGTCCCCCTGTGCCCTCCGTCCCTCGGTGCTGAGGCCGCACACCGGTGGCTGCTGAGGCCGGCTGGGTGCTCACAGGAGCGCTGAGCCCCCGCTGCGCACTGTGCCAGCTGCAAAACCCAATAAATGAACCCAGCCCTGCGATCCCCGGTACCGAGGCTCCATCCCCGCGGGATCCGACGCATGCACGCCTTACCTGGACCTGAGCCTGGGCTTGGCCAGCGCCAGTAGCGCGCTCCAGCTGCGCAGTGCCATGATGCGGTGCCCCCGCCGGCCCCGCTCCCCGCCCGGCGTCCAGCCTCGGTCCGCCGAAGCGATCCCATCGCACCCTGCTCCCGACGCTCTAGCTCTTCAAGAGGAGCTCTATGGTTCCCTCCGCGTCGCTCCCTAGCTTCGCGGCACAACCTCTACGGCGGGAACCAATCAAAACGCAGGACACAACAGCGGAAGGGCGGGGGCGGGGCATGACCCGAGGTGACCCTGGAAGCGGCCTCTCATTGGCTGCGAGGGAAGTGGCGGTAAGATTTAAGGGGCGGGGCTTAGCGCGTGATGCCCTATGGGTGACGCCACGGTGAGGTGGTGGTGGGAAGTCGTGACGTGAGGTACGGCGCTGCGGGGCGCGAAAGGCAGCGGCCTGCCTCCTTCCCTCAGCCTCGAGTCGCCCTGCAGGTGATCTCACAACTATGGAGAGCTGTGAGATCGTGCCTTTTGATGTCCTCACCTGCAGCGGGCGGGAGGCAGCGCCGGTTCCTCACACGCCTTCAGGGCTGAGAGGAGGTTTGTGCGGAGCTGCGATGTGCTGGGGGTGCCAGCAGGCCCTGAGCGATGCCGTGTCAGCCTCACAAAGCATTCTCAATGAGGAACAGGTTTCTCTCATTGTGGCTAAGGCAGGTGAATGGTGTTTAAGATGAGAAATTGGGAAGGCTGGATAAGAAGCTCAGCAGGGTGTGCAGCAGGGCTCTTGTTATTGCCTCAGTGTTGCCCATTGGTTGAAATCATGTTGCCCATAAGGGCTGGCCTTCAGCTCCTTTAAATTCTGGGGAGAAAAGCACTCTGCCATTAACCCACATTCTGTATTACTATCAAAACCACTTGTTAGTGCCATGTAACAGTACAGTTTGGATCCTGATTGTGATTTAAGCATCATAAGGCAAATGTTCAGGGCTTCTTTATGTTTGAAGGAGGGTTGGATGCTTCTGTTTTTAAGGGGAGCCATGCAGGCTGGCTCCCACGCTTAGGAGCCCTGTGTGTGATTTGAGGCATGGCTCCTGGAAGCAATTACCCAGCTTTATTTAAAGCAGAACATTCTTCAGGGAGAGCGCAGCACCTCTTTGATTGCTGAAGATCATTGTTTTCTCTCTGGGTTGTTGTAAAGCATTGTGTGGCGTAGGAGGAATGCTGGGCCTGGTGCTGATGGAACTGCAGTTTGGTGTTGGTCTGAGCTGCTCAGGAGGAGCCCTGTGAGCAGGAGTGCAATGCCTGGAGGGAGGCAAAGCCCAGAGAGCCCCGAGGGCTGGAGGGAGCAAAAAGCACAACGTTCAAAGCATTGTGCTGAGGTGATGGCAGGGGCTGCTGGGTACAGTCAGTGTAGGCTGAATGGCGATCCTGATAAGCATCTCTAATTACTTGTGAGTGCATGTTCTTCTCCCAGCAGCTGTTTGTACCTTCCTTGCAGTCCCTGCACGCAGCGTGAGTAAAGAATGTCTGCTTAAGCAACAGTTCTGTGTTCACAGCTTTTAATCGTTTCTTCTGCTAGGGGCAGAGGTTATCATCTGCTCACTGACTTTTGCTTTCACCTCGATTATGATGAGTTAAAACTTGCTCTAGCCCTATGTGTAGTTTCTTATCCATCAGATCATTTCAGAACAATAGCGAAAACTGTCAGGAAGAGGAAGAAATAGTGTGAGAGAAGGCAGAAAAATGAAGGAAAACAGGAATTCCTGTCAGTTTGTTGCTTAGTTGTCGAAAGGTTGCAGAAGAAGTACGTCCTCAGCTGCAAGAACATCAGTACCCCCGCAGTAATAGTTTGAACTGCAACACTTAGGGAAGACTTGAGAAAGAGAGAGGGCCTTTTTTAGGTCACCTCCATTTCTGATGGCTTATTGCATTTAAGAAGGAGCAGAATTGCCTTTTAAGTTCACTTTATTACAGCAATTATCCCCTTCCCCCACCCCCAAGCACAAGAGAGAAGCACCTCATTATTGTGGGCGCTGGGCCGCAGGGTCTGGGCAGTGCTGTGAGTTTGGGAATCATTGCTCAGTCTTTGTTCAGTGACTCGTGAAGCTCTTCTCTCTTCAGTTTCCTCTTTCATGTTGGATCATGCCTCTCTTGCCACCCAATGCATTGTGTTTCACTGTCTGATATTTTTCCTCTGCTAACAGACGTTGGATTATCTTTCCATCTTGTTTACTTTCTGTTCCCTTGTGCTTCTCTTGCTTTCCATTTTTTGCATGGTGATTGTTTTGGTTTGGTTTTTTTTTTTGTGCTGCAGGAAAGATTTATTGTGCATAGTTGAGTTGTGATTTCTTCCGTGGAGGGGAAAAAAGAAATTCAGGGGCTGTGGAGGGAGGGAATTAATTGCGAGCATTTCAGTGCTTAATTTTTCAGCCAAATTAGGTTTAGGAGCTGTTGAAGATTTTTCTTTCTCCATCCAACCCACATGCCAGATCAACCCAGAATCGTGAAGGCACGCTGGAATCTCCCCAGCAGAACTGGTGTTTGTTTCCCAGGCCTCATTACCATCCAGTAGTAGTAATTAAATGCATCTCAGCTGCTGTGCTGGTTTCGTAACAGCAGCACAGATGAGTGGCACGATGGGCTGCTGTGCTTCCAGCCGGGCTGGTGGCGAGTGTGCCCTCACAGAGAGCGGCTGCTGTTGGGCTGCAGGGTTCGCACACAGGCAGAGGGCAGCTGCTGTTGAATCGATCGGGCTGCTGCTCGCATGGAGCGCAGCGGCAGGACTACAACCCCCGTGATGCTTTGCGGCGGGTGCCGCCCGGGTGGCCAATGGGGCGCAGAGGGGCGGTGGC